GGGATTCACTGTCCCCCCTCCATTTCTGGGGAGAGTGCCTTGACTAGCAGGCTATGGAAGAGGCGATGCTAAGGCACTCCCCACCTTTTCTGTTGAGAAGGCCCCAGGAAGGGGATTCAGGCCAACCTGCATACTTAGTAGCAAGCTGCCTAAAGTTAGCACACAGCCTGCAGCCACCTTGAGTCAACCAGTAGGGAAATGCCATGGCCATAGGTATGTCTTTATTCTGATCCCTTGCTCTGGGCTGCAGGGAGGGCTTGCCATCAGCTCAGGACCCATTGCCAGGATCCCTGTCTTAAAAGAAAGGTGACCTTGATTTTTCTTTCCCAGCAGGGATTGTCCCTTTAGTATGTAACCACCATTGGAGAGTGCCCTAATGGCCAGGCAGTCTTGGATAGGGCTGAGGGGAGGCACTCCCTGCCTCTCCTCTTCAAGCTGTGCCCCTGTGCAAAAAGGAATGCAAGATTTACTGGGGCAGAGAGAGAGGGAGAGCAAGAGGGTGACAGATACCTGGGGTAGAGAGACCTGGGTTCACCTCTGCTCTGAAGACTACAGAAAGTCAAACATACCTTGGAGCAAGGACCAGAACTTAGATCTGTTCCTTCCCCACAGGGAGAATCCATCAACCCCTAAGGGAAAGTCATGCTCTCTCCAACCCTTTTGTGCACAACAGCACACCCTCAACAGGAGTCAAAAATATGCCCCAACTCCAGAGCAAAGCTGCCGAACGACCTGTTGGCTAAGGTGCTTTTTAAGTTGTTAGGAAATGGGACTTGGCATCCCTCAAGTGGATAAGGAGACTGAATTTGGGTCTGTTTCTGTAGATAGTTGCCCACATCTGATCACACTCATAGCAGACTGCTCCTCAGCCTTCTTGCACCCAGGGTTTTTGGCTCCACTATTCACACTCTTCTGAGTGGTGCCTGTCCTTTTGGAGTCACTAATGTGGGAACATGGACCCATTTTCTGCTAGCTACCTGCACAAGCTCAATTTTCAATTTTAACCTAGAGCAGTCCCTATTCTTTTTGTATTTCCATCTAGCGATTATGTTCCACTGCCCTCTGGTATCTATTTTGAAATGTACTTTTTGTTCATTTATTTCCTATATCAGAAATCAATCTGTGGTAGCACTTTGCTTTGTAAACGTATTAAAAGACCCAACAAAGGACTCTGCTTCTGTGCCATCAGCACTTTGTTCTCCAGCTGTACATTCGTGAAAGCATTTTATATATACGCTCTTCAATTATTTCAATGCTTGTTGAACATTTAATTTAGGAAGTGCAGTGTTCACTAGCCTTGAATATATCCAATGACAAGTCAGTTTCCGCCATAACCTTGCTCTCACCTGATTATCAGTTATATCATAAATCAGTTGGGGGTCAACCTTTTTGGCAGGCATGCCACAAATTAGCCCTGTACCCACCCCAAGTGCCACTCTGATTCAGAGTGGCACCTGGGGTATGGACTCAAGAAGTCTGGATTCTAGTTCTACTCCTACCACTGGCCTGTGGAGCATGTTACTTCAGTTTTCTGCATCTCAGTTTTTACATCTCTAAAATGGGGATGTAAAGGTATTTGCTTCCTTTGGAAAATATTATGCAACACTTAGCTATTTACGATGATCAATATTACTACTACTGCTACTACTACTAGCTGGTACATCTATTAACTGCTCACATTCACATGAGAGCTTTATTGTGCAGGACTAACAGTATAGCTCTTGGTCTCATCTGGCAGCTAGTTACTTGGGAAGGAAAGGAGGGACAAGTTCTTCTTGGGAAAGTTGTGGCATTGCACAACACACCAAGTAGCAGTGTAATAAGATACTGTAAATCATAAATTTACTAACTGTGGGATCACAGTTACTAACAGTTTAATGCCCCACAAATCACAATTGGATTATTTCAGCAACTTTCTTTGACAACCTACTGACTTGTGCATACCTCATTAAGCTCTTAGTATTTGCAATACAATTGATTAACAGAAAAATCAGTACAAACACAAAGGCTGTTGTATTAAAATAAAGCCTTCTTCATTATATAAGGTATTGGTATTTAGCCCTGTCAGAATATCAGAGCACACCTCACAATGCTTTATTAAGACCATCTGTTCAGGCAATTTGGGGCATGAGCATAAAAAAAACTCAATGCCAGAATCATGACAAATCAACAACCTAGACATTTAACTTTTAGGGGCAATACAAAAGAATTACGCATCAGGAAATTGCACTACAGCAAGTGGGGAAGAATATTAGGTTTCAAATATTCGGTGCCCGGCAACCTGTCAAGGTGAAGACCATATCATCTGCCCACATCAGAGCTCATATCCACCAGGTAGTAGCAAGTCCT